ACTCGCCCGATATGAATCCTTTAGATTATTTTCTCTGGGGCATCTTAAAGAGTTAGTATACAAAACTCCTATTGAAAGTGAAGAGGATTTACCGAATAGAATCATTAATTTATGTGACATAATAAATTTTCAGGAGAGTCCGTAATTCAATGATGAGGCAGCTAGACGGTTGTATTGAATACTTAATTTAGTGAAATTTGTTGGTCTAGATGTTAATGTGGTCCAGGGATATGCAATTAAGTGGCCTTTTTTATCTCGAAAACTAAAAAGATAAGAAAAAAGTTCAAGAGATAAAAAAGTTGTATTTCTATCCGCTTAATTCAAGGAACCTAATAAAAATTACACAACAGCTAGTGGCGTACATTTTTTGTCACAAATATTTGTTCAAATCACACTCGAGATGCCACTAGACTTAATAAATTGAATCAAGTTTAGGCTAAATTAGCTTCTATGTCTGATGGGTGCGTAGAATTACCGGAGCTAGGTAATATTACTAACATTGCCACACACGCTCCCCTAGTCATACTCATAATTTTCTAGGTTTGAGCGATTTTACTTTTTTTTTCGTTTTTGAGACAACATTTTGAGGAGTGATCCTTTGGATTATTCTTAGACAATTTTTTTATCGTTCGAAATGCTGCTCCGTTTCGGACTTACAGGCCAGTAATAGGTTTTTATTGGATAATCTTTGAACAAAACTGTAAATTTCAACTAAATTTCAGACTAGTTGCTAATGAGGTCATACATAATGGTTTCCATGAAAAGCATTTAACTAGTTCGTCAGCGATCGACCACTCCAAATTATTTGAAGTCTACTTATTGATGGATAAAAAATAATATTTTTTGAAAAATGTGCAAAATATATTTCTGTTTCATTTCCAATGGATTAACCATTTTTTAGCAAAGCTTGTTTCAATATTGCTCTTATCGATCTATACTGTGTAGCCAATCCCTATAAATTTGGAAAAAAGCCTAATTATTTGGGAAGTGATCTGAAAAATTATACAAAGGGATTCTAGGGTCGCCGATTAAGAATTTGTCATCAAGATAAGTACCGTTTTAAAATGGCGGGGCCAGTATACCGAGAACGGTCAGTCAAGTCAGTCAAGTCATCGTTGGTTGTCAGAGCGGTCCGTGGGACCTTAGCTCTTGAGTCACAGTGTCAGTTTGTAAGTCTGTCAGGTCTGTTAACCCAGAAACCAGACAATTTTAAGGAAAAAAGGGGAAGGAAAGGAGAGAAGGAAGAACGAGAGCAAAGGGGAAGAAGAGAATCTTTTAGGATAGGCAGCGTTTAGGCATTGTTAAAATCGCTTCACAGATTTTGATATGGTCTAAAAATATTTGATTTTTTCTAAAGATTGTGTAAAAATGCTCCAATTTTGGTTGTTCTAAGTTCACGAGTTAATTTTGATTACAGTGCGAGCCGCGGCCTTTTGTGCTTGCGAACTTGCTCGACTGTGTAGTCCACTGACTCACGCAACAGAGGGTTGCTGTGCGATTCCGATAGGCTATAGCGCCGCTGCGCCTGTTGCTTAATGTAGTCCTTTAGGTAAGGGACATCGAGGTCTCTATGTAGAGTTTCGTTAGAGACATACCATGGGGCATCAGCAATAGTGCGCAACGTCCTGCTTTGCAGAACCTGCAGACTTCGCATGTGTGTTTTAGCAATAAAACACCAAGCCGCACATGCGTAAGTCATTGCTGGTCTTATGACCACCTTATAGAGTCGCATCTTGTTAATCAAACTTAATTTTGACCGTTTACATAATAATGGGTAAAGCTGCCGAAACGTAATTTGGAATTTAGTTTTTAGCGCTTCCATGTGGTTCCGCCAAGTCATCCCTTTGTCCAGAATGACACCGAGATACTTAGCGGAGGATTCCCATGGTATACGAAGTCCATTCATTGAAACTTCAGACGGAACGCCGCGACGTCTTTTTGTACAGTAGATTGCCTGCGTTTTCGAATGGTTTATTTTAATTAGCCACCGATCCGCAGAATCTAATACTTCTTCCACCGCACTTTGCAGCCTGTCATGGACTAGGTCACCAGACCACGACTGAGCCACCAATGCAGTATTGTCAGCATAGAGATAGACTTCACAGTTGCTGGGACTAGGGACGTCATAGATGTACAGTGAGTAAAGGATAGGTCCAAGGACCGAAACCTGAGGGACGCCGGCTGTAATCAGCCGTGTTGTCGACAGCACATTGTCAATTTTGATCCGAAATTTCCTACCTTCAAGGAAGGATTTCAGTAGTTTTAGAAGCCAAAAAGGGAAGCCCTTTTGGATTAGTTTATACAAGAGGCCCGCGTGCCACACCTTGTCAAATGCTTTTGAGACATCCAAAAGCAAGATGCCAGTACTTTCGTTAAGGGTGAATCCTCTGGTTACACGTTCCACCAGCCTAATCGCCTGTAGCTCCGTACTATGTTCAGACCGAAAACCGAATTGCACGTCAGGAATCACATGGTGATCTGACGAGAAATTCTCAAGGTGACGTAGAATCACCTTTTCAGCGAGCTTAGACGGAGCTGACAGCAGGCTAATGGACGATAATCCTGGGGAAATATCGAACCCACCTTCTTTGGAATCATTATAACTTCATCGGTCTTCCACGCGGATGGGAAGTATGTACTGGATTCTTAGCATGGCATTGACTATTGCCACGAGATAAGTTAAGGACTTCCGCGAAAGCAGCTTCAGCGCCTTATTAGTGATTTGATCCTCCCCAGGTGCTTTACGCACTTTAAGGTCTTTAATATGACCATGAATCTCTGCTGGTGTGCAATGCGGAATCTCAGGAGATACCGCTGATGTGCTAAGCAAATCTTCGGTTGAAGAAACTTCTGAAGAAGAATCTTCTGATGAAGAAAAATCACCAACGAATGCGCGACTGTCACTGACGCCGTTGGCCCTAAAATATCTCCTGACAGATCTTACGATGTGTTGCTCCTCGTCGAGGTCATTATCAAGATCATAGTTGGGAGAGAACTGTCTTTCCATGGCATCGGCGAAAACCTCAACCTTCTCCTCTGTCCTGAAGACAATGCCTCCAGGACCGTGAATGTGTGGGATTTGTTCACGCTTTCCGTTTTTGAGCGACTTCGCCACCTTCCAGAGAGGAATGCTTGAGTCAAGCATCCCCGCCAGAAAGTCGTTCCATTGCTCATTGCGGAATTCATGAAGAGCATTTCTTACTTCATGAACAAGAATCGTCGCTCTGCGAATGTCATCAGGATGACAAGACCTTTTCGCTTGCTTAATTGCAGCTCTTTTATCAGAAATTTTCTGACGAATGTCTGCTGGCAGAAAAGGTCTGCCGTGTGGCTGCACGGGAAGTACAGCTGCACGCTGCAGAGTTTGCTGAACAAAACTTGTCCACTCTGCTTGAGCCGCATCTATACCGTTCTCATCATCTATGAACGGTATATTGGGGAACTCTTTGAGGAGCGACTTGTATAGCTCCCAATCAATGTGTTTCCTTGGAGGGATTTCATCCCCCAAGATCTGCTCATTAGCCACTTCCAAAACGACGGGAAGATGATCGCTTGAGATGTCATACATGATTCGAGAAGTGATACTGTAGCTACAGTTTTTGGATAATGCCAAATCAAGAACATCAGGTGCCTGAAGGTGATTAAATGGATGGTGCGTCGGCTCTTCAGTACTATGTATGAGGTAGCCATTTCGTATCACATGGTTGTACAGTCGGATCCCACTGGTGGAATTCAACCTGGAATGCCATGCTCGATGTTTGCAGTTGAAGTCCCCTGCCACAATAAGTGGACCCGAGTAGTCTAAAAGGACTTCCAGATCCGCCTCTTGCAGCCTGTTACCACACCTGACATACACCGATGTGATTTTTAACGGCATACCTCCCGTCATATTGACCACCACGGAAGCCGCTTCGATGCTCTGCATGTCAGCGTTTGTGCTTCTGTGGTAGTCAATACCGCGTTTCACTAGTACTGCCAAGCCGCCACCCCGTCCAGTCAATCTATCAGCCCGGATAACATCGTAATTCGGGAAAGCTAGACGATCTCCCGGATTAAGTAATGTTTCCTGCAGCAAGGCCACATCTATACTTTCGTCCACAAGAGCTTGATGAAATTCCCGTCTTTTGGGAATGTCCCTTAGACCCAAACAATTCCAAAAAAGAATTTTGATAAATGCAGGCTGTCGTCGATTGTACCTAGTCATTTGCAGGAAAGATCGCCTGCAAAGCCTGTGTTGCGCTAATCAGAGGACCTATGATCTGCTGTAAGGACCTTAGCGCGGTTGCCAGGTCCACATTTTGCGTGTTCGCAGAAGATCCCACAGAGGGGGCAGCCCGGGTTGCATCCCTAGCTGCATCCGCGCAACTTAAATTGTGCCTTTGCGCTATCACTTGCAGATTTTTCTTAGGGGCAAATCTGCAAGTCCGGCTATTCGCTGGATGCCCCCCTCCACAGTTCGCGCACTTTCGTTCCTCTTGTTCTGTTTGAGGGCATAAGTGGGTCATGTGGTCAGAAGCACATTTTAGACATTTAGGTGGTGCAGTGCAGTAAGATTGCGCATGCCCATATTTTTGGCAGCGGTGACACTGCCCGATGAGTCTTGAGTTCTTTTGAACTTCGACTCGGATAGCCAAACCTAGCAGCTCGTGTTTGTTGAACAGCTGCTTTGATTTTTCTATCTTGGGCAGTATGACTACCACCAAAGGCATGGACACGCCGCCACCGCGTTTCAGGCGAATTATGTGCAGGGGGGAATATCCCCTCTGTTGCAACTCTTCCTTGATCTCAATTTCCGAAAGTGTCGCATGTACTCCTCTGATTACAGCATGAATGTTCCTCTCAGAGGGTAGAGGGAAAGTGTGATGGGGCACCTCTTCCTCCCTGAATAGACGAATAATCCTGCGGTAATCATCCTCGGACTTGGGAATTATCCTGATTCCTGCATCGACGGCAACCGCGCGTTCGAATTTGATGCCCAAAGAAATAAACTTGTGATTTACGCCTCGCCATCTCGAAGCATCGCGAAGAACGATGGGGGTAATACGTACCTTGCGTGGGGGCTGTGCAGTCGTGTCTTCTGGTACCTGAGATGTCGAAGGCGTGGAAGTAACCGATAGATTAGGCACAGGCTGTTTATTCGAGTCGCTTGCAGTTGAATGAGACGTTTCAGACTGCGATTTTGGTGGAGGGAGAGGAGGAAAGCCTGTCGTGTCCGTCTTGTTTCGTCGCGTTTTACGGGGCTTAACCTTGGTAAAACCGTCAGGGAGTGTATCGTCGTCTGTGGAAAGATCGCTTGAATTATTTAACGGTCTCTTAAGATTGACAGCTTTGTCTTTACTGGGATTTTTGGGAAGTGTTTGGGAAGAATTTGTAATATTTAGATGGGAAGGTACCTGAGTTTTCAGTAGGAGGTCTAATTTAACTGTTACAGTATATTCAGATAAGAGATAGACCGGACATAAACAAGACCACGTGATCATCGAACGCTGTAACATTCGGCAGGGACGTATTAAGATTCACGCAGTACATATTTTAGATAGTAGATGCTGCTTTGCGTAACTTTGTAGTAAATTAGCACAATTCGATGTTCGATGTGTATATGATTGGTGATGGATATAGGATCATGTGGGGGTGGGGTAAGAAATATAATGATGTAAATATACATAAGGGTTTCAAAATTTTCGCTTCGATTTCCAGCTTCGGATGCCGCCTGATGCTTAAATTAGCCTAAATTAAAAATAATCGTATATCTCTTAAAATTGCTTTTAGAATATTGATTAGTATACTTTTTGATTTCTAGGTAAATATGTAACTAAATTAAAACGTTCAAAACGTAAAAAAATGTGCATGGTTGAACATTGTCAGAAAGTAGATTCTTGAATAGGTTTTTATGGATTCAAAAATGTCAATAATTAATTAAAAAATACAGTAGCTTTATAATTACTTATAACTTACCGAATTTGATGAACGACATCTTTTATTGGAAAGATGAGCTTGATGAGCTTTCATCATCGCTACTGCCTGAAGCACCAACGTCAATAATGAATGGCTCGACTTGTTCCTCTAAAATATTGTCCAGTTCCCACATTCTCTTTTCAACTTTGTCTTTCACGTGCTTAATACAGTTTTCCCATTTTTGCGCTGTTATTAATTCTAGTGCTTCTTTGAAAAGTCCTTTGAGGTCACAAAATTTAAAAGTTGTATTGTGCTTAGCTATATAATTTTTAACCTCTGCCCATATGAGCTAAATGGGATTGAGCTCGCAATGGTATGGAGGTAAACGGAGCACAGTTTTATTTTGACTTGCTGCCATTTCGTCAATGGCATATTTTTGATATTCCGCCTTGTGATCCTTGACAATTCTTAATAATTGTACTTTCAGCATTGCTTCTTCAAAGTTGATATTTTTCGAGCGGAGCCAATTTTGAACATCAACTTTCCTTGAAGCCGTTGTTGGGACCTTCTCCATTCTTCGAGAATGATAAGGCGCATTATCCAACACAATTACTGCGTTTTCCTCTAAGTTCGGTAAAATTTTTGAAAACCACTGTTCAAAAGATTCGCCATTCATTTCCTCGTGGTAATCTCCAGTTTTCTTAGACTCAAAGCACCACAGACCGTCAACAACAAATCCATCCTCACTGCCAATATGGCAGATAATGAGCCTTTTCCCTTTACCTCCATTTACCTCCTGCAGTACTTTATCTATAGTAGGTATTTCATTCCTAAAGAAGAATTCATGCACTTTCCTCCTAATCGCATGCTTATCAGCTTCATCCAATGATTTAACAATACTTTTGCGATGTTTACTGGTCATTGGCTCAGAAAAGGTGTGATTTTTTTTGTATTGTCTTAACACATTAAACACTGATGCGCGACACACCCCAACTTTGTGAGAAACCTTCACAACAATTTCTTTAATGGTTGATGCCTCGTTCTCCTCGCGCTCGATCTTATATATGTAAGAAACGGGGTAGATTTGATTTGGCTTTTACCCCAAAAAAAATACACGTCTATCCCCAATCAATACTTTATTCCGAGTACTCCCATTTACTCCGTATTTAGGCACAATTTGTTTGGCTGTAGGTACGTGACTGTCGTCATCTTCGCTACTACCTGCGAGGGATCGCAGGTAGTAGTCGTCCCCGGACCCCTCGTGCTCCTCCTTCCGTCGCAGAAGATAACGATATCATTTCACCCTTTTGAGAGGGAATTATAGGTAGCCACAGCGGCGCCGCTAACACGGCCATCCGAGATAAGTGGAGCGTCCACGCACCACACCTGGAATAACAAACACCAAGCCAAAATTTGTGCATGACAATTGTATTATCTCACAATCGATCTCAATTGAGACCAGACATAATATTATTTTTTTATGCAGTAACAGCGTTTAACATCCAGGTCTTTCTGGTGCCGTTAAATGCCAGACCTCATCTAAATGTGACATATTTCCATAATTATTATCATCATTTTTTTTTTTTAGAACTCATTTTATTACTTTTCTTTTCACACGATCAGAAATTTTCTGTTGCTATTCACAGCCAGACATTTTCTGTTGCTGTCAAAAGCCAGACCTTATCTGATCGTAACAATCCTCAAAAATAATACAAACATCTGTATCATTTTTATTTTCATCTTTTATACACAATTAGATGTTGCCAAATGTCAGACCTAATTTGAATGTGTCAAAACATTATTTTCACACGATCAGAAATTTTCTGTTGCTATTCACAGCCAGACATTTTCTGTTGCTGTCAAAAGCCAGACCTTATCTGATCGTAACAATCCTCAAAAATAATACAAACATCTGTATCATTTTTATTTTCATCTTTTATACACAATTAGATGCTGCCAAATGTCAGACCTAATTTGAATGTGTCAAAACATTTTCAATTAAATTTCATCAGTACTTTGTACACAATCAGAAATTTTCTGTTGCAATTCCACTAAAAGCCAGACCTTATCTGAAAGTGACAACACCACTCTTATTTTAATTTATATTTGTTTTCCTTATTTTGACGGTCAGAGATTTTCTGTTGCTATTCACAGCCAGACATTTTCTGTTGCTGTCAAAAGCCAGACCTTATCTGATCGTAACAATATTCAAACACAAATACGAGAAAACAATAAAAAAAATGATGACTTATTCCTTTTACTATGGTCTCTGTTATTTAATCTTTCGTACGCATTCAGATGCTGCCAAATGTCAGACATATGAATCTCTTGAAATAAATTTCTTTTTTTTTTTAAATTCATCAACATTTTATACACAGTCAGAATTTTTCTGTTGCGATTAGCACCAAACCATTTTGTGTTGCTGCTAAAAGCCAGACCTTATCTGAAAGTGTGATTTATGATACGAGTATTGTATTCTACGTACACTTTCACTCCATTTGTCAGTTCTGGGAGGGCCAACGTCGTAGTTGCTCATGAGCGGCTACTGTAGTACGTCGTCCTTTTCCGCCTAGCAAATATCTGTCGTTAGGAAGGACGCTTCGGACAGTGAAGGGTCCTTTAAACTTCGGTTTCAATTTTCCGCCTCCAGCTAACTGGGAGCCTTCGACAGCCACAAGATCCCCAATGTCAAATAAACTTGTCCGGTAGCGAGCTGCATTAAACCGTTGAGCGTTCTTTTTTTCTTCATCTTCAATACGAATTCGAGCCTGGCCTACAGCGTCGTCGCTATCAATGAAGTTATCCGCTACCGGCGCATCTCCTAAAAATTGTTGCGTCGCTGACAGTCTAGGGTTGTTTCCCAGTTGGAGTACTGCAGGTGCGTAACCAGTTGTCGAATGGACTGTGTTATTTAGATCCTCTTCTATAGCTGGCAATATCGTTGTCCACTGCTCCTCATTTTCACTCATAAGTGTAGCTCGCAGTAAATTGAAACATGTGCGCATAACACGCTCTACTTGTCCATTTCCTCGAGGCATTCCAGTCGCTATATGATGTAACTGAACTCCTTGCTCACTAAGGAAATTCTGGAATGTCACCGATGTGAATGCGGCTGCTCTGTCAGCTATTATGCGTTTCGGGGTCCCCAGCTCTTGAAAAACTGGTAACAAAGCACGGATGCTATCTTCAGAGGTTTTCTTTGGGATTGGTTGGAGACGGCAGTATTTAGAGAAGGCATCAATTATTACCAAGATGTGCGTGCATCCATTTGATTTTATCAAAGGTCCTGCATGATCAATGTGCCAAGTGTGGAGGATATCATCAGGTTTTTCGCCATGCTGCCACCATCCTACTCTGCGACCGGTATGTGATTTTCCTAGTACACATGCTCGACAGTTTCTAATGTACTTTTTCAAACATTTGCCCATTTTTGGCCAAAATAAATCCTCCCGTAATTTGGCTATACATTTGTCGAAACCAATGTGCGATGATTCATCATGATATAGTTTCATTGTCAAAAGGCGTGCTTCAATGGGAACAAAACACTTATGGGGTTTTGACTTGGTCACAACGACATTATTTTTTACAATAAAGTTGGGATTTATTTCTGGATTATTCAGGATTTCAAAACAAAATGTGTCTTGCTCCTGAAAACTTCGCAAAGTTTTGGCATCTGATAGTCTACTCACGTTTATAGTTTTCAAAGCGAACACCTTCAGCGCAGATTCTTCCTCTGGTGGGTTTCGACTCAGATAGTCCACGTGAGCCATTTTACTTCCGGGACGATGCTCGATGCTAAAGTCGTAGTCCTGTAACTTAATCCACCAACGTGCTACACGGGGGTGTAAGTCTTTCTTCAAAGCAGTTGCTCTCACTGAATTACAGTCAGTGTACACCACAAAGTGCACTCCGTACAAATAAACTCGAAATCGCTCAACAGCTTCCACTACAGCAAGTGTCTCTAAATCATACGAGTGATACCTTGATTCGTAATCGGTCGTCCGACGGCTATAATAGGCGACAGGTCGCGAAACACCGTCTTCTTTTTGGAGCAGCACAGCGCCAAGTCCCACTGAACTCGCGTCAGTGTGAAGTTCACAACTCAGGGCGGGATTGAACATTCGT